ATAATCATTGAATGGCACCTTGAAATTTGGAACAGAGAAATAATAAAACGGTTATAGTTTATGCCAAGTCAAAATTATTTAAAGAAGGAGCTTTCGTTCATATTTTATGACCTTATCGGGCTTTATATCATACTAGTGATTCGATAGCCTTGCGGCGGGTTTCAAAACTATGTTGCTGGTTATTCCAGAAGGAGCAGAACAAAACGGATCACTGAATTGTATAAATCCGCTTTAAGCTTCACTCCCCATAAAATTGTCATCTTTATGCGTTTTGTTACCTTTAAGTAATTATATAGATTAGTTTTTTATATAAAAAGTGACAAGCAAAGAACTGAAGTTATTCCACTTCGAAATAATAATTGACACAGCAGTCACCTTGCTCCCTTATATCATCACATTTATGGCTATATACAAACGTATAGTTATCAGGCAGTGGGCAGCATTGCCTATGTATGGATGGCTCGGATCGTTAATCAAAATGATATTTTAAATATCTCCTCAATAGGTCATCAGAACTTTACAATACTATATAATGTTTCCTTTTATAACAATATCTATGTAATGACTGAGTCAAAAGTTCTGGGAATGTCTGTAAATATCATACCAAAAAGTTTGAATTTCTTGTTCTTTTTCTGTTTTTTTTTTTTTTTCTATTACAAGATAACTCAAAAACCAAAACAGTGGTGTTAACTAGTTTCCCTGAGGTGACCATAGTTTCAAACGGAGAATCCGCTTTTATAAGTATTCTTAATAACTAGTAGTAATTTTTATAAAATCATAATTATAGTGTAAACGATGCTATCATCACCCCTTGAAGTTAGTTTTCTGACAAATATCTGATGTTCCTTTAAAAAGCTGAAGTACAGGGTAAAACAAGAATTACCAGCTAATAATTGATAAACAATAAATACTGTATTTAGAACTTGGTTATAAATTAAACCTTCCTATGTTTATTGGAACAATGCATTAAAAAAGGCAAACAAATAAAGAAAAAACTTTTCAAAAAAGGAAGTAAATGTAGGGATGGTTAATATCAATCCTTCAAAAACAATGCAAACAAGATAGTAGGGATGGCATTTACATCTTAAAATGAAGTAAGAATTTCATCTGAATCAGGTTACACGGAAGATGGCGTCACTCTTATGATGCTCTGTGTTTCAATCGTTCTGCAACAAACAACGCAAGATACGTTATTGTATATTTAAGAGTAAATAAAGAGTGTTAAAATTTTGACCTTAAGTTTTTGGATGGTGTTCATTATGAGATTAATCGTGTGTTTATATAGTCGGAACAAATTATTGTAACTTGCTACGAGTTTGGTAAAATACTGGTGTCACAACAGCTAATTACGTAATGAAATAGGACCTTAATTTTATTTTTCTATAGTAGTTTTTGTACTACTAACTAATGAAGCTGCAGTGGCGAAACTTTGACAACAATATAGTTTACTATTGTGTAGAGTACAGTTCGTTTTTTCTTTTTTCTCCTTTTTATATGTTTCCTTCCAGAATTGTGTCATTTCCTTCAATTTCGTTTTGTTTCACTTCTTTCTAACCAGTTACTTTTTTCTTTAAACACACACTGTTTTGTTTTTTATGTTACTAGATAATATTGTTACACTATCTGCGTGCTGTTGAGTTTTTTAATGATATATTGATGACACGTTGAAAAAACTTGATGGTTTAACACCCAAATAAAGACATTTCAAAGACTAAATTCATTTATGAAAAGAAATTTAATAGAGTTATTGAACTACTACTTCTTTTCTCTTGTAGAAATACAATTTTGTGAAAACCTCATTGATATTGAAATAGACAGTTACGGAAGGAAATTGTACACTGTCTAAGCGCATTTTACGCGCATTTTATTCACAAACAGCGTTTAAAAGCACTAACCTTGTAATCTAAAGACAGAAAAGGCTGTGGTATAGAAGAAAATTTTTCTTCCATTAATAATTTAATATTTTTTCACTAAACGGAGCCTCTAATTTTTGTTATTATTCTTGTACCACTGAATTATTTAAAGTTTATAGGCTCTATATTCTATCTTAACATATTTCGGTTATTTTAACTGCAGAAACAACGTTAATATTTTGGTGAACCCTAGTAAATAGCTTGTGGTGTAGATAAAGGATGAAAAGAAACTACATTGAAATAATGATTACCGTGGAAAAATTCAAATAACGTGATTGCTAACATTCAACAATAACTGTAATTACAAACGTATATTTTGTAAGCCTTTTTAGTTCATCAGTTATAACAATTGTTGTTATATTTAGTTTTTTTTACTAACAAAAGATAATTTCAAAATGTTGGTCGTTTAGTGCAAGTAGTGTCTACATACAGTATGTAGATATGCTAAAAGTCGAGTGTGGATCTGCAGGTCTACGTTCGCGTCCCCCCACCCACCACACACACACATACAAAAAAGCATCCTCTCTCCTTTGGGTCTATTGGTGCGTTATAGGGGGGGGGGGACTCAAATTCCACTATTGGGTTAAAAAAAGAGAAACCCAAGTTTATGCGTTGATGCCGTTGACTAGCTGCCTTCCCTTTCAGCCTATCAGTTGCAGAATTAAGAATGACGAACGCAGATAGCCTCTGATATGCTTTGCGTGAACATCCGTAAACAAACAAACAAAGATGTATTAAAGGTATCAGCATGCATATTTCTTAAGTACTATATTGAAAACAAAGGATAATTGGAAGTTGTAATATTATGACAAACAAAAACCACGTGTAATGTCAGTCGCTCCTCTTAGTTTATTCTCATGAAAACCAGAAATCTTAAATTCAAATATTTCATCATTTGCTCTGTACTACATTTAGAGGACGACTACTACATGTCGATTCTGAATAGCCACACCCGTAGGCTTTGTTTTGTTGAATTTCGGGCAAAGCTGTTTGAGGGCTATCTGCATTAGTTGTCCTTATTTAGAAGTGATAGATTAGAGGGTAGACAGCTAGTCAACACCCACCGCCAACTCTTGAGCTACAATTTAACAGCGAGAAATGGGGTTGTCCGTCACATTATAAAGCCCCACTGTTAAAAGGGCAAGTATGTTCAATTTCGGTATTCGAACCCGAGATCCGCAAGTTGCGAATGGGATGCCCTAGCCACCAGGCCCTGTACAGGCTTTGAAATTTAGCTTAGATGTTTGTAGCCACTTATGGACAACGTTTGAGTGTAGATGGTTAGAAACATACCTCACAGTGCCAATCTGTATTCCAAGCGTTCAATGAGATAAAATCCACTAATAATAAGGCACAAATATCTCACCTGCAGTGATAACAAAAAATATTTCCATTGGATTAACAACATTTAAAAAAGTATTCGATTTACAAATGAATGACACTTCACTATGGATACAAATGTCAAGCATGTGCTTATTTGGAATAAACATAGAACCAGGTGTAGTAATTTCATCTAGTAATGCAACACGTGACTGTGATAGAAATCTGGTGGGAATTAAAGTAAACCCCGGTGAATATAACGACCTCTACATTTTATGGAATGATATAATTAATGCTACATATTAAAGACCATGTTCTACAGTTTACCCTGACTTAATGGCTAATTATGTCCGTTCTCATTGTATTAAAGCGAACTTCATTGCCATTGAGCATCTGTGGAATACTCTTGGAAGACGCACTATATTTTGCTAAGTGACAAGACACTTAAAATGTCCTAAAACAGCTCTTTAAGAGGAATTATCGAGTATAACTTGGGATTTTATCAACCCTGATTTTAAACATGCAACATGGTGCCATGTTGTCTTTGCTGTTCATGAGTCATGACGAATGTACGCCATATTGAAATGAAGTGTCATGAATTATAAAGATGAAAAACACTTCTACGAAATGCCCATTTTAGAGCATTTCATTTGCATTTCAGGTCACATTATTGATCATCAGACGCCTGATTTGTGTAAAACTTAACTGAAGAAGTGATTGATATTATTTCGTAACTAGTTTTGCTTATCATTGCTATAATGTTACAAATTCTGATCATTCTATGACTGTTTTGAATGGTGTATTTCTCCAATAATTCGTTAATCTTAATGGGAAGTTAAAAAATGAAAGGCTTCGTTTTCCTGCTGGCCTAAGTTGAATGTGTTAACAATGAAAAGACAGTAATTGCTGCTAGTTACTATAGAATATATATATCAAAATGGAAAGCATATTAGGTAAATATTTTGTTGATAGACGTATTCAAATATTAAGAAAAACAAAATTAAAACAGTGGCTAAGTTACATTTTGTTTGAAAATTTATTATCTGTGAAATAGTTAAACTTACCTTTACATAGGGTTATGTGATATTTTAAAACATACAATGAGTTAATTCATCAAAATATAAGTAGGTATGTAATAATAATATGATACACAAGTCATTGTTACTGAAAATGCCAGGAAATTATATTCGTTAACAGAATACGGCAGTGAAACTGAGAAGTTTTACACGTTAGGTTTCATAAATTCTGTAAAATTGCAATAACTATAACGTTACCACATCGTATTATACCACTTGAGAATTCAAACATTTAACTGCAACACTTTGCAATACTATAAGGGATAATCTTTATGCTTTGAAATATATTTACATTTATTTCTACATGAGATAAGGAAGATGTATCCTTAACAATTACTGCCTATGGTTATGCTAAGAAGTCCGCTTGCCAACTAACTTAAACAAGCGTCATTTAGAAGAATAGTCAGAAGTAATTATTGTTTAATGAAATGAATGTTCAGTTGATTATTCAGAAACAAGCCTTAGAAGGGCTACTTCTTTCAACACTATCTGTTTTCCTCTTTTCATATCTTTATATTTGTCTGTGTTTGAAGTGATATATTATGTATCAATCTACTTTGTTATATTTCATATTAGGCTCATAAACTAATAGATCCCAGTTACATAAGAATTTGAAGTTATGTTTTATTGTTCAAAAAAAAGCTCAACATCTTTGCACAAATACATGCTCATTTTATTCTTTTTTTTATAGGTTGGCCAAGTAAAAATGTCTGTTATCATAAGACTACAGAACCTTCCATGGTCTGCCAATTCTTTGGACATCCGGCGTTTTTTTAATGGTTTATCCATTCCTGAAGGTGGTGTACATATTGTTGGTGGTGAAAAGGGCGACGCTTTCATTGCATTTGGTACTGATGAAGATGCCAGACAAGCTATGGAGAGAGACAGTGGGAGAATCAGAGAGGTAAAGGTGAAGTTGTTTTTGAGTAGCAGGACTGAAATGCAAAGAGTTATTGAACAAGCTCGAACTCAGAGTTTGGGAATCCAGCCATCTGTGCCACAAGTACAACCAAAGGGATTATCAAAAGAAAGAGACAGTGAACGTAAGCACACCCCTGACAGACCTAAAAGTCCTGATAGACGACGTGATAAAGAAAGGTCCCCAAAGGATAAAGATCGTAGCAGAAGGTCGAGTCGAAGTCACAGGAGCAGAAGCCGCAGTCCTCGACGGTCAAGGGACAGGGATAGAGAAAGAGATCAAGACAAAAGAAGTGATCGACAGAGACGAGATGAAAAGTCCAATGATAGATTAAAGCTACCAGATCAACCTCCACAGCTTAAAGATGATGATATTAGGGTCCTAAACCCTGTAATGGGTAGAGAGCAACGAGATTCTTCTTTTGCTCCTGGGAGCATTTCTAATGGGGGAATGGGTATTCCTTCACAGGCTAGAGGAATGCTTTATGAAGAACCAACATTAATTTCAGAAAATGATCATATGCATCCAGGTCACCCACCATTTCCACCAAATTATGATCAAGCAAGACAAGTTAGCCACTGGGGCCATAGTTTCCCATCTGAAGACACCAGAGAACAGTGGAGAGAAGAAAGACAAGGCCTTTTGGCACCACCAGGACAATTTGGAGGAAGATCTGACCCAAGAGGAACTCCTTTTATCCCACATGACAAAAATTACCACGGTGGTAGTGGTTCTTCATATAGAGGAAGGCACCCAGGAAATGAAGGTATTCCAGAAAGACATGGTGTTCCATTTTCAGACCGAAGAATTTCACATGATGAGGACAGAAAAAGTGGATATGATGAGCGAAGAGGAAGGGGAGTGGAACCAATAGACAGAAAACCACCTCATGCTGGACCAGGATTTGAGGAACCAGGTGCTGAACAAATGGAATATTTTGAAGCTCCACTGCACAGATCTGGTGGACATCCACCTCATGATGACTATGATGGTAGAGCTTATCCTTCTTCTGGAGATCTACGTGGACGAGGAGCACCACCTGGACCTAGAAATTCTGTACCTAGAGGTCAAGATCCTCGAGCCTTTAGACCAGTTAAAGATAGACCAACACCACTTGGTTCTGCTGATGTCAGACCACCATTGTTGAGTGGGCGAGGTCATCATCCAGGTGGCCACTATGACCCAGAATATGAACCATATAGTGAAATGCCACCACCCGGACTTCCAGGCCCTTGTGTTGAAATCCGTGGACTACCTCATGATGTTCGCCCTGTTGATGTACATGAATTTTTTCGAGATATTCATATTCCTTCAAATGCTATCAAACTGACATATGATGAACATGGGACACCAACTGGATATGCTTATGTAAGGTTTGCTAAACCACAAGATGTTGTTGAAGCTTTGAAAAGAACTGGTCAGATGATTGGAAACAACTATGTGGAAATTTTTAACTGTCCAGAAAGAATGTTTATGGAAGCAGATGTATATCCTGGTCCACCACTTTCAGGAAGGAAACCTCTTACATCTGGATCATTCATGGGACATCATCCACCGAGAGAGGAGGATTTGTGCATATATTTGCGTGGTTTACCCTACCATTGTTGTGATGAAGATATCATAAATTTTTTTGATGGATTGCGAATTTTGGATGTCTTTATTGAATATGATAGAAATGGAAGAGCAGTTGGTACTGGATTTGTTGAGTTTGGCACAACTGAAGACTTTCAAACTGCTTTAGCAATGGATAGAAAAATGATTGGACACAGATACATTGAGCTTTCAGTAACAAGCAAGACTATGATGAATGAAGCAAGAGGAGGAGAACCAGGACCAAATCCACCTACTTGGATGGGAACCAGAAAAGAGCTTCTTCCTCCACCATCGGAGCAAAAAGGACCATCATGTGTAGCTTTACATGGTCTTCCAATAGAGATTTCAGATCAGGAAGTTGCAGACTTTTTTGCTGAAGAAGGTGTTATACCTCGAGCTATTCATATTATGTTAGGGCTTAATGGATTACCTTCAGGAGATGCTTTTGCTGAATTTGCCTCTAATGAGGAAGTAACATCAGCACTCAAGAAAAACCAACAGTACCTAGGTTTGAAAGTTATTGTTGTTAAGCCGATACCCTATCAAGAAATGATTGATATTCTTGAAGGACCACCATCTGAACAAGATGCACTTTTAGAGCTCCCTGATACAGTTCAGTCTCAAAGACATCCAGGAAAACCATTAATGGATACTCCTCCAGAAAAAGGGAGATATTTAATGGAACCACCAACAGGAAGAGGACGTGGCAAACCTTTGCTAGAATCTAGGGGTAGAGGAAATCCACCTGTAGAACCAATGGCAAGAGGCCGTGGTAGACCATTATTAGAGCCTGGGGGCATTGGGAGAGGTCAGTCACCTATATATGATGAGCATATGCAATCAGATAATCATGGTACTCATTCACATGGGCTTCCTGGTCGTCGTGGACCATTGGGACCAGATCAATGGAATGGTCCACAGGACGGACCTCCTATGGGAAGAGGACATCGTGGATACCCTCCAGACAGACCATTGCCACATGAACGCTATCAAGCTAGACTAGAAGGGTCAGGAGGGCCAAGATTTCATGGTCCACGACCTGAAGAAGGTAATGGACCTCCTGATCGCTATCGCCCTCCTGGTCCCAGAGGACCACCTGGATGTCCAGTGGGTCCAACTAGCAGAGGACCACCAGAGAGTCAAATGAGGTCAGGTAGCAGAGGACCTTCAGAAAGTCCAATGGGACAAAGGAGAGGTACACATGATGGACCAATGGGACCAAATAGAAGAGGGCCACAAGATGGCTCAATTGGACCTGGTGCAAGAGGAACTCCAAAAGGCTTGGAGGGTCTTGAAATAGTACAAAAAGAAGAACCTATTGAAAATCTGAGCAGAGGATCATTAGATGGTCTCGGAGGTATTGATGATAGAAGATCACTAGATTCTTCATTGGGTCCTGGGCAAATTGGACATTCAGGAGAAAAACAATTAGGGCCAGGTCGTATAGGTGCGTCTGAAGGGCATACGGAAGGAGCAGATCCAAGAGGTCCACCAATGGGGCCTCATGGATCGAGGGGGCCACCTAAACCTGCATATCCACGAGGTTCTATGATGGAAAGACCAAGAGGACTCCGTCCACCAAGGTCTCTTGATCCAGGGCCAAAGGGATTTGGTAAACCAGGTTGTGTTATTGCAGCAAGTAATGTACCATATCGTGCTACAGTTGAAGACTTGTTAAGTTTCTTCGAAAGTTACGAATTAACAAAAAATAGTATCATAAGAAGGTTTAATGAAAGTGGTCAACCAACAGGAGATGCAAGAATTGCTCTTAAAACTGTGGAAGATGCCCAGAAAGCTGTTAAGGAGTTAAATGGGAAAGACATAGCGGGACGCCCAGTGACTTTGCAAGTTGTTTAGTGCTAACTTAACATTGTATTAAACTGAGATGGCTTTATATCCCAAGGACACTTCGTAGTTTAAATGAAACTGAAAGCAATGTTGTTGTATTTTATTATTGAAGGTATAACTGGCATGTTGCTTTGGGTACCCCATAAATATAATTCTTACAATAGTTTTTGTTTCGTTCTTTCCAAATAGTAGCGCAATTTTGATCTAATTTATCTATTAGGTTTTGACTTACATGGTACTTACATGTGTTTTGCTGCTGTTTGTTCTTGACACCCAATTTTAATCATTCACCACCAAACCTATCCGGGTATTTCATTTGTGTAATAATTAGCCCCCATCTTGTATTTAGTGATCAACATTTTTCTATTATTTGTATGCATGTATGTATCTGTTAGGTATATATATATATATATAAACTCCTTGCCGTCATTTAGTTTAAAAGTGACAATCCAAGTTGAGCTAGGAACTTATTAAAGAATCTAGTTCGTCGGAATTATTGTCATGCTAATATAGACCTATGTATTTCTGTTTCAATTCCAATACATTATTTCAAAATATTGAAATCAAGTTTCTGGTGAAGTAAAAATATTTCATTTCTATAAAACATCAGCAGAGTGTAACTTGTGTAGCTGCAGGTAAAAGAGCACTCATATGGTTATATGTTCATTAAGGTCTGATGCCAACAGTTTAATTGTGTTAACGTTCATTTCATGTATAAACTACATAAAAAAGTGTGCCTTTTTCATTCTTCACTACTTCACACTGTTTAAAATGTTTAAGTTTGTGTTCATTAGACAAAACATCTTGCCATTTAACATTTCAGATAACACTTCCATTACTTTTGTAAAACGAAAATTTATGCTCAGTAGAAACGTGCATGTTGTGTGCAAGTTTTTAATGTTTTTCAAGATAAAATTAGAACTCTGTCGTCAGATGTGGTCAATTTGAGATATATAACTGTAACATTTGTTTCTAGTTTAGTCAGGTTTCATCCATTTAATACAGGGTATACTTTAGTTAATACGCAAGTATGAAAATTATCATAGTCGTCTTTTTTCAAAGTTTTTGTGACACTGTATGTTTAAACGTTGTGAAATAAATTAGTTTTTTTACGAAAATAGTTTTGTTCATTACGTTCGGGAAAAATATTGTAGTCATGGTATATCAGACATTCATTTTTATATAAAAAGATAATCATTAGTTCATTTCAACACAGAAATAATTAAATATATGAATACTGTTATTGTAATGTTTTTGGTTGGGCTAATGCACATGTAATGTTTTATTAATTTAGTGTTTTGCATTTACTTTCTTTAGATTGTCTTTCTCGCTATTGGTCGTGAGCTGTAGGTCACTCACAAGTTAAAATTTTAGGCACATTTTGGTCAAAAACACGTAAAACAAGTTCATTCACATTTTGTAAAATGGATGCCTTTGGTAAATGTCATCACTGCTGCTGTACGAGTTCTATTTACGCAAAGATGTTTTGTTCTTGCCATATAAAATGAAGTTTGTGTGTTATGTTTCGGCGAGTGTATGTGATAAAATGTTACACTAACTATGTTGTTATTGATTGGCAGCTGTTGCAACAGATGTATATGTACCCAACGTAGTCACAAGTAAATAGACACCACTTTTTCAGAAAAAATGAAATTTTCAGTCATATTCACATGAATTG